TTTATACCCTGTCATTTTTCGTAGGATGAATCTGAAGCTACTCACAACTGCACCTACAATAAAATTAAAAATATATGTATTTATAAAAGATGATGGGAAATAGAAATTCAATTAGAGTTAATACTGGGGATAGTGGGGACAAAATAGAGCCCAACCACGTAGTCCAAAGATCCTGAAGGTGAATTAGAAATGTGGTCCTGAGATTCCTGGCAGTCAAAGTGAAAAAAGAAACATGATCAGCTTTGTGATTTTTTGCTGTCCATATGAAAAAAAAAGCATTTCCTTAGGGGAAGTAAAGTTTCTCTTGACGTATAATTTTGAAAATTATACCCAAGTTTCTTTCTTAGCCTGGGGGCGAGGGGACTCCATGAGCAGAGAGAGAAGGTAGATGCTAAGATCCAGACATGCCCACTGTCATTTGTACTTGCCTCAGGCTCCTGAGAGAGAAACAAGTCATTTCCCTGAAGTCTAGAACAGCCCCTTGGGTATGGGCATTTCATTTCCAAATTTTGCTTTCTCATTGAGAATTGTGGGAGCACATCTGTTCTTCTGTGTTGGTGGGAAAAAGGGACTAGTTAAGCAGCCATATATGAGTATATGAGTGTTTATAATTCTGAAGTCTGGTTTGACATCAGCAGTAAACAAAACCAGAACTAATGCTTTTAATAACGAGTTCATGCTTTCAATTTGTAGTGAAGTTAATGGCGATAAATTTCAATCACATTGATCCTCTTGTCCGTCTTTTGTAAATATTAAAAGTTCAATTAAGAGCAGCTGAAGAAAGAGATGATCCTTAGAAGTCAGCAAAAACTCTTTCAGAATCATCAAATCCTGCTCTCTTCCTTCTGACAGGGTGAGAAGGCAAGGAGATTGGGGTTACGGACAGATCTGGAAGGAGTTTTCTGGTGATGGATGACAGGACTCTTGGCCCCATCCTGTTAACTTGTTTTCCATGAAGAAAGACACAGAAAGCATACTTAGCAAGTCTGTAGGTGACCCACAGCAGGCAGAGAGAGCCCAAATGCTAGATGATAAACCCAAGATCCAAAGTGGTCTCGACAGGCAGAAATGATTGTTAAAAGTCAACTTGATTAAAACAGAAAAGAGGTAAATGGCATGCCTTGTTTCTTTTTCTCTCATTTTTAGAGACTAAGTATCGAATGGAGGATCCAAGGCTTGGTAGGACTTTTGGATGACTGGGAGCACCGCTGTGTCGGCCCTAACAGGAACTCAGATATACCTATGTGCATAAGCCAACATGTTCTCAAACTTTAGAATCCTCTGAAGTACCATTTAGTGGATTCAGTGAGATTACAAATTCTTCAATTCTGTTCTTTCCTTCTGCTGTGGTTACAGTAGACAACGTGGTTGCTTTCCCCACTCAGGGGTATTCAGCAAATAGCAAACATTTATTCAGCTCCAATTGTATATCCAACACTGGTCCAGGCACTGTAACTAAGAGGATAAATGAGACATGGTCTCCATCCACAAGAAACCCAGGCTTCTCGTCTAAATATGTGTGGATGAGGAATGAAGTCATATGCTACTCTTGTACCCCACAGTACTCAGAAGAATAAGACAAATAATAATCACTCAGAGAGAGATACGAGAATACTGATTGGGGATATCAACCTGAAAATCACTTAAAAAATAAACTCTTGCAAGGCAAGGAATGTAGGCTTCAAAGACCATCATTTTTCTATGCCTATGCTCTTGTCATATAAAAATGTTACACTTATGGGCTCATCTGGTGACTTACTATTTTAAAGGTGAAGCCATCATTTGAGTATTTGTAACTGGATAGAGTGTGAGTGAGAAGGAGGGGTTGAGAAGGGTCTGTGTTCCAAACTCGTGGCCAAAAAGCTTTATTTATGACGGAAATACAAAGGATTCTCTTTCGTCTCTCCTCATCTCTCGGTCCCTGCTGTGGTTCTGTTGACATCCGGGGTGTATAAGAGCCGACCTCTGCCACCGCTCTGTCCCTCGGTCCTTTTTGCCCTTCTGCACCTGGATTCAGCATTTAACACCCTCCACTTGTGAGCAGCTTGTAATGAACTACTCGTATACGATTAGGCCATTAAAAATAGAAATAGAAAACTAAAAAGCATTAGGAAGGATGGATTTTATTTTGGGAAAGGACCCAGTCTCATGAACTTTTTGTTCTTTCTGTTTTAGGCTATGTGGTCCTGATTCTTCATTTTAGACTAATTGCAAACTGGTGCATATTACATTTTCCATCCCATGACAACTGGATTATGTCTTTCTCTGTTCATTCCTGAACCCTAGCCACTTGTGATGGTGCACAGTGTTCAGCTGGTGTCCCTTCCAACAGATTTTGGCCAACGGTGTTTCCTGGAAACTTGAGTGTCTAGGCATGAGCTCAGACGCTGGCACGTTTGCCATCCCTCTAAATACCTCCATGTGCTTCTTGTATAATACTGACTATAAAGCCAGAGGGTAGCTTCTCTTCTCTGGATGCAATAGCTTTCTCTTTGCTCTTTTCTTAGGGATTTATCACCCACCCATTCCTTGTATGACAGGAGCTGTGAAGATGGTTGTCATTGCCTTGAAAATCCTTGAAGGCAGGGTTTTTAAAATTTTTCTTTGTATCCTTCCAGGGGCTTTATGGGTTAGAAGATCAGTTCATGTAACTTGGTGATACCCTGTGGGTCATTAAACCATGGACCTTTCCAGTAGTTTCTACAGGAAGTTTTTCCTGTGAAATCACTGAAAGAGCTCACATGTGTAACCCAGAAACCAGCCGTCCGCAACTCATTTACATTATATCATCAATATTCATCTTGCTTTCCCAGTCAGTTCATTAACCACCAGACTTCCTTGTCTTGGTCTTATTACCAACTTCCCTGTGGGTTGTAAGACGCAGTGACTCAGAAACCTCTGCCAGTTCTCAAATCTCGAGGATGCTTTGACCTGTCTTGATAGAAGGCCTCCCTTCCATGTCAAAAATTCCTCATACCTATTACCTACTGGTTCTTTAAACTCAAACTTATTGTAAAACTTGAATTTCTGGTTTTATACCTATGATGACTCTTAAAAACCACCTTACTTTGCCCTTTTGACCTAGGAACACCACCAAGGGGAGAGAGAGAGAGAGAATGGAGGATGGTAAATATCGGCCTTAAGGACTGTCATTAAGTCTGGGAAAATACAAAGGTGTCGCCACCTTACTCTTTTCAGGTTCTGTAATTTGGAGGAAGTGCTATAAACACAAAGAAAGAGAGTTAAGCTAACCCACATTGTCTTGGGCAGTGTTGAACGTGGTTTGGAGGATGACCAGCAGTATTTTCCCTGGTATAGATTGAATTTAATAAAGCATCAGCACCCCAGTTCCATTGTAGCTTAACTAATACCATGTGAAGGGTGAGGGTATTAGGAAGGCATCCATTTTTATATAAAAGCATAGCTTTGGAAGCATATAAAGTGACTAATTGACGAGAAAAATGAAAGCATGTTTCTAGAAGGCCAAGAATGTCTTAGCAACCCAGATAAATGTTGCTTGTAAAAGCAAAACTGATAACCAGGAATGACTGGGATGGAGCCTCACTAACTCTGGGGTGTGGAGATAAGATAAATGAGCGAGAGACAAAAGGAGGGCTGTGTGTGTTTTCAGGGAAAATGTTCACAGGGTTGTTCTAAAGTGCAATTGGATGTCCTCACAAAGGCAACAAATACATTAAAAAATAAAAACAAAACCCAGACTGCCTTATTTCCTTCTTTGTAGAGTCTTAAAAGGAGAATGTGACTATTTCCAGGAAAATTGTTCTAATTATCAACAGAACTGTCTACTGAACAGATTGAGAGTCGTGCTTGGCTTGACATTGGGGTTGAGTACAGCCTTCCACTCCCTAACAGGTCTCCTCTGCGAGGCAGTTATCAAGAAAGAGGTCGGTGGTCTGTGCTCTGAAGTCACATAGACCCATATGAGCCCTGGCCGTGTGATTTGGGGCATGTCACTTAACTAGTCTGAGCCTCAGTTTCCCCATCAGTAAAATGGGGATAATAACAGAACCACAGAGCTGCAGTGAGGGTCAATCGAGGTTGTTGGCAGTACAGTTTCCAGTGCACTAAAGATGTGCCAGATGGACACTCTTAGGCTAGGAGGAAAGAGTGAGGGGCCCGGGTGTGATGTGCCACCTGCTCTGTGGGGGGTTGGATGCACTTTCTTTGCGAGCAGCACATCGGCAGTCGGAACAGAACAGCAGATAACTTCCCAGCGCCACTTCCTACTGGGTTGGGTGACGTGAGGGTGGCTGTGGAAATAGAAGGTCAGGGAGTGACATTCTCAGCTGCTGCAGGTCCCTGTGGGTGCCTGGCACATCTGGTGGCTTCAAACAAAGGGTACCGGTGACCGTATCAGTCCAGCAGGAAAGAAAGTCTTGGACAAGAGGGCCTCTTTGTGTGCTCCTGTGCATGTGCGCCTTGGCTGGCCTGGCAGGCGGAACGAGCTGTTTGTTTTGTGGAACAAAGAACAGGCCTGGTTAGGTTGGGGGATGGAGGGGCAGGAGTGGTTCCTGACAGGATTCCCCTTGGTTAAAACAAACTCTAGGAGAAGCGTCTGGCATTGGGGAGTAGAATAGAGACACATTCACACGTGCTAAACTTTGATCCAGCAAAGTCAGAGCACACAGGAAACGGTTGTGAGTGACCTGACTCTCTTAATCTAGGCTTCTTATTCGGTATCAATAGGAATATTATTGGGGACAGCAGCTAACCACAGAGCGTGATTAGAGAGAGGCCTCCAATTTCCAGAAGTGGGGCAATTCCATGGGAGCCGGGGGTTAGGGTGGGCTAGGCATAGAGGCAGGCCCTGCAGAATCGGCAGATAATGGCTTTAATCTCAAGGCCGTGGCGAGCTGAGTGAGCATGCTGTGCAGCAAAGATGTGGGCTGGCTCACATGCACACAGGGGGATGGTGGCCCTTAGGATCCCATCAGGAGGAAAACACAGCTGATTCTCTCTTTTCCTCTCTCTCTTTCTAGAAGGTGTTCACTTCTCATGCCCCCAGTGCCCTAGGCTTCATGCTGGAGAGGAGAGCTTAGAAGACATTCTTCCTTCCCTTGAGGATCACAGATGGGGATGGACTACATGTAGAGCAGAATCAACTGGAAAACAACCAGCCCTTGCAAGCTTCCGTACCTCAGCATGTGCTGTTTCTTTTGTCTGCACTGCCTTTCCCGTCCCTTCTTTGCTTGGTACCAAGCACTTTCTAGCTTTATGCATGTCCCCCACGTCGAGTTACAGCTCCCTTACCTCCTCTCCCCTGGCGTTTGGTTCCTATCTCCATTATGGATATATTGTATTGTACTTTCTTTTTTCACATCAGTTGCTCATACTTCAGGTTGATTGGTTCAACATTTTGTGTGTGTGTGTGTGTGTGTGTATTTTATGAGTATTTACTTTGGGCCAGACACTATTAAATCTAGTGAGCAAAAATGGACACGTACGCTTTGCCCTCAGAAAGCTTGTAGTCTAGTGGGAGAGAAAATAAGGAAAAAAAATCATACCAGTAAATAAAAATTGCAACTGTGACAAGGCTCATGGAAGAGAGGGGCTAGGATTTGACCTAGTCTGGGAGGTCAGGGACCATTTCCTTGAGGAGGTGATGATTGAGCTGAGCAGGAGCTAACGATATGGAGAGGCAGAGGCAGACTCTTCCAGGCAGGTATGCAAAGGCCCTGGGGCAGAAGGGAACATGGTACAAGAGGAAACTTAAAAAAATTTAAAAAGGCCAGTGGAAGGTTGGGGTGAGTGAGGAGGAGGAGTGTGATCTCTGTTGGGGCTGGGAAGGTAGGTGGACCTGGTAAGCCCTGTGGACCAAGTTAAGGTTTGTTGTTTGTTTTTGCCTTTATCCTTAAGAGCACAGGAAAGCCATTGCAACATTTAAGCAGGGGGTGACATGATCTGATTTGGGATTCAGAATACTCTCTCCTGCCCCTGTATGTGGGGAATGGATTAGAAAGGGCAGAAGAGGGGAGGTGGGTAGACCAGCTAGGAGGCTCCTGTTGTCCAGGAAGGAAACGATGGCAGCTTGGACTGGTGTGGCGTTAGTGGAGATGGAGAATGGAGGGTAGATCTGAGATAAATTTGGGACATCCTGGGATAAAGTTAAACAGCTTTTCTTACTAAAGGATTTCTCAGAGCCTTTTAATAAGTGGGCTAAATGTGGGTTATGATTCTCTAAGAAAGGTCTCAACTGTCAGAACTTCTCAGAATTATATGACCACAAAACTCTTTTTTTCCTAAAGAATCTTCCATAATACTTTGTTTTATAGAATACTTTTGGGAAAATGCTGCATTACATAATTCTTTTTTTGCAGTGTACTTTCCGTAGGGGGTTCTGGACACTATTCAAAGGCCTGTAATTGGGAGTGAACCTGACACACAGTGCAGAGAGGAATCTGTCTGACACCGAGCTTGAAGACTTGGCAAAATCAGATTGAATAGGGAGACTGAAGTCGATTTAGAAAGGTTTTGGAGGCCAGGCTAGGAGACATTTAGATTCAATTTGTTATATGTTGGGAGTCATTCTGGACTTTGAGCAGAGATGTGTCATGGTGGAAGTGTCATCTTGGCAAGGTCTTTCTGGAAGACATATTGTAAATGAGTTGAGTGGTGAGATGTGTGCTAGAATTGAGTGTTCTAGTTTTCTAGACGTGAGTAGATGAGAGCCTGGGCTCGGGTTGGGGAGTAGGAATGGAAAAATGCATCTTTCAGGTCGAGAAGGAAACGTAAGATGTTTTTCTTCACACCCTTTCCCTTTGGCGGGCGGCCACTATCTGCAGTCTGAAGTCTGAAAGAGAGTCTCTTCTGTGTTTTTCTGAGGGCAGAGGACTCGTTTGGGTTCCCAGGCAGTGCTGGAAACGAAGGTGTGTGTTCAGAATGGCGTTGTCATTGTCGGGGAGCAGGAGCGCTATTACTTAGGTGAATAGTTAATGCCTAATGAGGGAGTTAAATTTGAGTCCGTCAAGTTCCCGGCACAGCTGAAAGTCCGCTGTGTGACTTTGAACAAGTTGCTTAACCTCTCCAGGCCCTGGTTTGCTCATCTGGAAAACGAGCGACTAGAACAGATGTCAAGTTCCTCCTAAGCTAAAAATTCCAGCCATCTCAGGGAACTGAAAACTCATTAATTAGGGCAGTCATTTATTAGGTTAAGCAAGACCCTATGCCTCTCAGGGAAGTATAATTTTGCGAGCAATTTGGATTGAGGGGCCGACCCTGTGGCCTAGTAGTTAAGTTCGCGTGCTCTGCTTCGGTGGCCCAGGGTTTTACCGGTTCGGATCCTGGGTGTGGACATGGCACCACTCATCAAGCCATGCTGAGGCAGCATCCCACATAGCAGAACTAGAAGGATCTACAACTAGAATATACAACTATGTACTGGGGGGCTTTGGAGAGAGGAAGAAGAAGAAAAAAAGAAGATTGGCAACAGATGTGAGCTCAGGGCCAATCTTTAAAAAAAAAAATTTGGATTGAGAATGGGGCCTTTGTAAAAAATGCGAGATGTGTCCAATTCACACATTCCTCTGAAATTCAGGCATCTTTTCTGAGGCAGAGATGCAGCGAAGTGGGGCCGACTTCAGTCAGACAGACCTCTTAGTAATGCAAAGGTAAACAGCACCCTAATGAAGGAATCTGCTAACTGGGGACTCACTTTAGGAAAGGAGGGTGCTAAAAATTTATTTTTATGTAGCGTGTTTGGAAATTGGAACAATTTTCTCATGGAGACATTGTTATAAATTGGGGTAAGGTTCTTAGGCCAGATAACAAAAGTTGATCTAGGGGCCGGCCCGGTGGCACAGCGGTTAAGTGTGTACTTTCCACTTCTCAGCGGCCTGGGGTTCGCCGGTTCGGATCCTGGGTGCGAACATGGCACCGCTTGGCACGCCATACTGTGATAGGCGTCCTACATATAAAGTAGAGGAAGCTGGGCACGGATGTTAGCTCAGGGCCAGTCTTCCTCAGCAAAAAGAGGAGGATTGGCAGCAGATGTTAGCTCAGGGCTAATCTTCCTTAAAAAAAAAAGTAGCTACTGGCGAAGAACAGTTGGTAGCATTTAAAAGTTGATCTAGCTCATGACATAGTAGAAATAATGTGTGTTGATGATAAAAAATAAGTGTGTAGTGGGGCAGTATGTGTGTTAGGTGACTATCGTTGGATATGTTCAAATATACCTAGACACTTAAAAACATGTAGAGGCAAAAATTCACTGAACTTGAATTGTGGGTGCACTGTGTGCCAGGCACCGGCCTAGGCTGGGGCCCAGAGTGTGGGGCAGACCCTGCCTGTGAAGAGCTCGCTGTCTGGTTTTCAGTCTTTTGGGCTCTTAAGTCAGGCCGCTGGGATTATATCCTGTCTCTACTCTTACTAGCCTTGAGACCTTAAGCAAGTTACTTAACCTCTTAGTGTCTCAATTTCCTCACTTATAAGCAAAGGATTTCATAGTATCTCCCTCGGGAGGGGTGGGAGGTAACTTAAGAATTAAGTGAGACCCCCATGGAATGGGCACAATGTCCGGCGTAGAGCAAGCACTCAGTAGATGTTATGCCTGCCTGGCCCAGAGCCTTGTCCTGTGGCATGCAACCAGCAGCTCACCGAGGGCCAGTAGGGAATCGGGCCCCTGATCCAGTTCCTCAGGCATAGCCCTTGAATGGGATGGTGTGGAGGGTGTTGGCCATAAAGGGAGAGAAGTACGGGAGGGCAAAGAGGGAATGGTGGGAGGGAAAGGAGACTAAGAGAAAAAGACACTGTCTTTATTTTTTTTTCCCTCCAGAAGAGTTAAGGTACAGTTCACCAGCAAAGAGAATGGGATTGGGCCGACAAGGTGACCTCCCAGAGCTATCTGAGAAATGCACGAGAGCCAGGGGGGAGGTTGGAGGTACCCTGGTGGAGAGGGAAGTGGAAAGGGGCTAGCAGCCGAAGAAGGGATGGGAGCAGGAGTAGGACCTGGCAGTGACACCCTGACCGTCACCATTGATCCCTGCTCACGGGGGGTCCTAGCAAAGATGCAGTGGATGTCTGTGTGTCGCCAGGTGGTTGAAGCTTTCTTTGGCTTGTGGCCTTGAGTTCAAGCACCAGGTTTCGTCCTTGGCCTCTATGCAGACATGTATTTGTGAGGGATCTGACTATTTTAGTTTCTGGGAGACATTGTCTTGGGAGCCTGGGGGAGCTGGTAATCAGGACGACGGCAGGCCAGACTCTTCAGGGGGTGTTGCTTTGGTTTTGGGCCCCACACTTTGAAGGAGTACTTGATACCACGCTCCAGTGGGTGAGGAAGGACCTTTGAAAGTTTAGCCTAAAGGAGAAAAGACAGGATAGGATGGTGTGAGGGAGGTATGAGGGCTTCAGGTGTTTGAAAGGCTGTCATTTGGAGGAAGGACTGTACCCTTCTTGGCTGGTCCCAGTGATGTTGTAGGAATGCAGATGTCAGCTCCATGTGAAGGAGACGTTTCCATGGCTGAGTGCTGTCAGAAAACAGAAAGGCCTGTTTTGAGAGGTAGTGTGTTTCCAGCCCCTGGAAGCGGAGGTTGGATAACTGCTTATCTGCTAAAGATAAAGCAGGGGTGGAGAGGGATGGGGGAATATTGGAAATTCAGCTTGGGATTTGAACCAGAGAAATTTGGTGTCCCAAATAGCGCTGACGTTCTACCATTTTATGAGTAAGATAATGAATGACTGAAAGAATATCCAGGTCTGTTTTAACTTATCTGGAGAAATGGAAACTTTGGTAGGCCAGAGGGAGGCAATGACCTTTATTAGCCATGTGGGCGCCATATTCTTAATCACAGAGATGGACATGATCTTAGAGGCCATTAGACTGTTGTGCTCGTGACCCTTTCTTTAGGCCATGATTACTTATATTTCAGTTGTGACAGTTTAATTCTCTTGTGGGACTTCAAATTCTTGAAGAATGGCGCTGTGCCCCACTCAACTTGTATACTCATTCAGTATAGACAGTCAGTGGTGAATGCTTAAATCCCTAATTGGATTCCCTTCTCTCGACATGGGATAGCTGTGGAAATGAGGCTCACAGAGATTGTGACTTGCCTCAGGTCAAACAGCTAGTGACACCTGCCCTCCTCCATTCTGCCTCCTGCACTCCTTCCACAGAGGCTGCTCTCAGTGGGCTGGGTGCAGTCGGGATGTCTCGATACCACTGATAGCATTTCATTAAGCTATCACCTAAGGACACACATTTCAGGATGCTGTTAGCATTTGACCAGGCGTCTGGTGGCAAATGGCAGATTTTCCTAGATGTGAGGGTGATTGCTCCTCAGAGCCTCGCTGGAATGCTGTAACTGTCAAAGCTGGGGCTGGAAGGGGCCCCCAGGCTCTCTGAATCTTCAGTAGTAGGTCAGCAGGAGCCCTGGTGAGGGACCTCCCCCTACTCCTGCAGAGCTGACCCTGGGGACGGGCCATACTTCTGCGAA